AGATAAAATATATAAAATATTTTACAAAATAAACAATTTAAATTATTAAAACGAAATCCATAATAAACATCATGAACTCAAACAACGCCTCTAATCCAAAAATTCAAATTTTAGACTGGAGGTGGAGGGTTCCTCTTCCTTGCTTAAAAAATTACCAATATTTTTTTCTTGGCGTGTACGTCCAACCCCGCAATTTTAGAAATATTCTTTGAAAGTCAAATATATATATATATATATATATATGGGTTATTGTGAGAGGTACACCTCAAATTTTGAATGGTCAGCGTATTACAAGAAATTTGGGGGAAAAAAAAAAATTTAATTTTGAAAATGCGGTTGGTGATGTCTATATGAGTTGACAATATATACATAATTTTATTATTATTTCTTAATGATATTTAGTGTGCTTGATTTTAATTTTTTGAATTTAATTTTTTTAATTTTTCATATTTTTTTGTTTTTAGTGAATATTTTTAAAATTTTAAGTAATTTTTTTACTTTTATTAGCAATGTTCTTACTTAAATTTATCTATAGTAAGATGTATTTATAAAAAACAATATTTTTAAAAAATTAATAAAATATTACAAAAATATGAAAAATGTACTGAATTTTATTTTTTTTTATATTTTTGGTATTTAGTGAATTTTTTTTTGAAAAAAAATTCACAAATTTATACTTTTTAAGTTGTATTTATGTTTAATGTATCTAAAATTAAAAAAATTATTAATATTTAAAAATTCGTGAAAACAATTATATAACTTATTAGTATAGATGTATAAATAATAAAATTTTTAAAAAGTAAATTCCTGAATATAGAAACCAAACAGAGTGATTAGTTTTTTTTTCTTCATTTTTCAAAAATGTATATTTATGATTTTTATGCTTTATCCTGGTTAAAATGACATAAATCTCACACTTTATGAACTGGAAGTGCTATATTTTAATTGAATTTTCACTTTTTTAAATTGACAAAAAAGAAAGATTCTTTGATGTTGTTACCTTGGCATTTATTCCACGGACTTAGTATGGGATCAAATAGAAATACATTTTATATATTGAGATTAAATTAACACAATTTAAACATTTGAAACTAAACTTAATTTGCATATTTCGGAAACTAAAAATTTAATTAACCCATTACTTTTGGTATAAGAACTTGAGTAGATCAAATCTTTAATCAATTAAACAATTTAACTAATTTTTACGTTATTTAAAATAAAAAATAATATTTTTGTCAATATATCCAAGTGTATTTATTCGTACCAGTGCCCATACTCATGTCACAACTTATTTATGTATTGGGATTTACTTCTCTGTCTAGTTGGAGAGAAGTGCACTTGATCAAATTGGCTTGTGAGGTTTTTATAAGTCTTATTTTAGTAATTTGAATTATTCATTTTATATATCTTTATGTGTAGATCATTTATTGAAAAAAAAAATTAAATTAATTTAATAATCGTCTGTAGCCACATAATTTTATTTTATTTTTTAAAGAAAAAAAAAGTATGTAGTGTTTGGTGTAATTTTAAAATTATGATTTGAGTATGGAATTGTGAATTGAATTTTGAAAAAAAGAAATTTATTTATTTATGAGTTTTGAAAAGGAAAAATTATTTTTTGCTTTACGGACAAGCTAATGTGGTGCACCAACTTTGTTGTGATTGATTGAATTAGTGGGACTCATCACACTTTTGTCTCTTTTTAGGGGACAATGGAACACTTATGTCCCAATGAATGGTGTGGGGCAATACCCCAAGACTAACCAATAACTTCTTTTCAAAAAGAGTTTTTGAATTTTGAAAAAGGTTTTGAGTTTTGAAAAAAAATTGAATTATATTTTGAATTTTGAGTTATATTTTAAATTTTTTGGATCTATTTTTTTAAACTATTAAAAATTGTTGAAGAAAATTTTATTTTTGGACAAATTACACTAATGGTCCTTATAGTTTAGGGCTGGTGTCACTTTAATCCCTAACTTTTCAATTGTGACATATTTGACTCTAAATTTTAAATATTGTTCTAAATAAGGACAATTGAAGATACCATTGTTCAATTTCAAGGGCAAAGTCATCAATTTGATAAAATATAAACTAATTTGACAAAAAAAAATGTCAAAAAAATATTTTTGAATTTTTAAAAATTATATAAAATTGATAAATGTTTCACACATTTATTTATTTATTTTACTAAATTTATTTTTATTATCTGTTTGGATGATGATTATGTAATGGTGATTATTTTTATTTTCTTTAAATTAGTTTCTATTTTTTCAAAAATCAAATATGGCGATAATTTTGAAATCATTATTAAGCCAATCCATTAAATCAAAAAATCCAAAACTAAAAACAATTTATATATTAAATATATTGATTACACATTAAAAACCTAACAACCACTCATTACGTGATCATCATTCAAACAGATAATAAAAATTAATTTAGTAAAATAAATAAATAAATAAATGCATAAAAAATTTATTAATTTTACATAATTTTATCTTTGGTGAGTTGAAATAATTTTTAAAAAATTCAAAAATATTTTATTTACATTTAGTTCATTTAGTTGTGTCCAATTAGTTTATATTATATCAAATTAACAACTTTGCCCTTAAAATTAAGCAATGGTCTTCAATTGTCCTTATTTTGAACAAAATTCAAAATTCAAGATCAAATGTGTCATAACTAAAAAGTTAAAGATCTAAGTGACACGAGTCCCAAACTATAGAGAGTATTACAGTAATTCGCTCTTTATTTTTTTTAATTTTAATATTTTAAATTCAAAACACAACTCCACACTCAATCGTAACTCAAAACTAAATTAAAAAATTATTTTCAAACCTAATAACCAAACACATAATTCGAAACTCCACACTACTTTTAAAACTTTACACTCAAATCGTAACCAAATACATAACAAAAAAATTAAAATATTTAAAAATATTTTTATAAAATAAAATAAAATATTTAAAATAAAAAAATCAAATAAAAATATTTTAAATAAAAATTATATATTTTAAATAAAAAATAATTTTTTTTTCAATTTTTCAATATTTTAAAAAAAATATTTTTTAAAAAATATAACATACAAATGTATGAAATATAGTGCACAGTAAAATAAATAAATAAATATTTAAAATATAAAATATTTATCCCAAAAAATAAAATGAAGAAAATTTTTAAATGTTTAAAAAAAAATCCAAAAAATCTTAAAATTCAACTCAAAACTTAAAATACAACTCAAAATTCTTTTCAAAACTCATAACTAAACAAATTTTCTTTTTTCAAAACTAAATTTAAAACGCAAAATTCTTTTCAAAACTCAAAATCAAACAAATTTGCTCTTTTAAAAACTAAATTTAAAACTCAAAACGCGACTCCACACTTGAATCATGATTCTAAAAATAATTTTAAGAAATAAAATAAAAAAATTTGTTTTTAGATTTTTTTCTTTTAAAATAGAGTTTTGAAAAGAGTTTGTTTTTAAGTTTTGAATTAAGTTTTAAGTTGTATTTGGTTATAAATTTTAAAAATAATTTTTAAATTGAATTTTGAATTATATGTTTAAATATAAATTTTGAAAAGAGTTTTAAATTTTTTTAATTAAAATTCTGATTCCAAAACTTAATCAAACATAGCTTATAATTTTAAAATACAACCATTCGGTAACTGGATTGGGCTAACAAATATTAACGAAGGAAAAGAGATCTTTATAATTGTCATAAATTTTAAATGAGGCGCGTGTTACTTACCCTTTATTATTATATTTTAATGAAGTCCTCCATCTCCCACAAGTCCTTGTGAAACATGAAAGGACTTTTGTTTTCGTCGAAGATTCTCGGAGCAGAGAGGGTGTTGTGAGGCCACAGGACTTTTGGATTACATTGTTCAGGGAAAAAAATTAAATAATATTTATTTCAAAAAAATATATTACATGTATTTTGTAGATTAAAAATACTAGAGATCTCAAAAGTTTTTTCAAAATTTTTACTATATCTGGGTGTGGGAGTCAGATGGTATGGATCACATACCCATGTAAGATATTTGATAAAAATTTTAATAAAACTTTTGAAATCTCTAGCATCTTTTGTAGATCGTCCATCATTTTGAAGGGAAAAAAATATATGATGCAGTTAAAGTTTTGGGAAATGTTATGGTGTGAAATGCACACCGTAACACAAAATTACGTAAGTTTTTATAAATTTACATAAATTATCTTATCAAAATGCGTAAATTGAATATAAATTTACATAAATTCACGAAGTCCTACGTATTTATGCTGTTCAAATTTGTTTGGGCAGAGATAGTCTCAGGATTAGACTAATAATTTAACAAGATGTATAATTCAATATATAGATAAATAAATTAAAGTCCAGACTAGTAGTCTATCAAGAATATAACATCCCCATATAAGAATATTGAATCTCCAGAGAGGAGTAAGATGCAAAATGAAAGAAAAAGAGTATGTTCGGCTGAATTAATTAAATCACAAAATTGATAAGATTTTCTGAACTCATTCTTATAATTTTGACACAACCCAAATATGGGATCAAATACACAATTTCGAAGTGCTGATAATCTCAGCACTATGATCCTATGAATATTTTAATCTCAAATAATCCAATCTATCCAAATATATATATATATATATATAAAAGTTCACTTTTTGAATTCAATAATGTTTAAGTGATATAATTGATTAATGATTAAAAAAAATATATGAAAAAGATGTTGTATTAAATATTTTAATTAATTGTCACATTATTAAATTTTAAAAAATGAATCTAATTTTTGAACTTAAATATCAATGTTAAAAAAAATATCACCCTTCTAGATATGATAAATTGTTTAGACAATAGACTGAGAGTTCATCATTTTAATAGCCACTCTCTCTCTTGTTTTCATATCAAGTAATCCAGGCAGCAGTCATCATGAAGAAAACTTGGTTCCTCTATCTAACTGCAATGTTCATGGCACAGTACTGTTTCTTAACTTGCTTGGCGATGAATGTTTCTAACTTCACCACCGATCAGTCTGCTCTTTTGGCCTTCAAAGCCCATATCACTTTCGATCATTCTCATCACATATTGGCAAATAACTGGTCCTCTGCCACCTCAATTTGTGACTGGATTGGTGTCTCTTGCGGCAAACACCACCGCAGAGTGGTGGCCTTGAATCTCCCTGGAGGCACCATCCCATCTCACATTGGGAACCTCTCATTTCTATCCTACGCCAGCATTTCCAACAACACTTTCCATGGTCATCTTCCTAGTGAGATGGCTCGATTGCATCGCCTAAAAGTTGTCGACTTCAAATTCAACAACTTGAATGGAAGTGTTCCGGCATGGTTTGGAAAATTACCCAAGCTTCAGTACTTGGTTCTCGCAAACAACAGTTTCACGGGTTGGGTTCCACCTTCCATTGGCAACATATCAACATTAGAGTCTCTCAATTTAATGCACAATTTTCTGGAGGGAAGAGTTCCTGAAAAGATAGGTGATCTTCCTAAACTGAAGCAGCTGCGCATGGGATTTAACTATTTTTCGGGGTCTATACCGTCAACCATCTTCAACATCTCATCACTTCAATTGATTGAATTCTCATCTACTAAGATGTCTGGTAGTCTTCCGGATGATATGTGTATTTCAATTCCCAAACTTGAATTTATCCATCTTTCTTGGAATGAGTTTGATGGCCAAATTCCATCAACTCTGGGTGAATGCAGAGAGCTCCAAATCATATCATTGTCTGTTAATAAATTCAGTGGGATCATACCCAGAGGAATCGGAAATTTGACCATTCTCCAGACGTTGTATCTTGGTGATAATAACATCACAGGTATGCAAATCCACCTAGTTAATTTTAAAATTAAAGCAAAATTGTACTAAATTTAAAGCAAAGTGGATTGGACCGCGCTTGTCCACCACGGGTCTTATTTCGATATTTGAATTGTTCATTTTTGTAGATCACAGTGTATAAATTATTTATGTAAAAAATCAACTCAATCCGATAACTGTAAGTTATGACATTTATTTTTAAGTAAAATAGACGATAAATAGTATCTAAAAATTAGATCATTTATTTTTTGGAAAACAAATGTAATAAATTAATGTGCGTACGATTATTGAATCATTTTGATTTTTTATATAGATGATTTACACTTTGTACTTTATAAAATAAATAGTTCGAATTATCGAAGTGAAATCCGTGGTTGACCCTACAGACCCAAATAGCAAGGTCCACTCCACTTGTAGACATAATCTTTTTCTTACTTTAAGGGTTAATATATTGTGTGGAAAGCCCCTAGAAAACCCAACCACACTAAGATAATTGATGGCTTCAAATATAGACCAGAAGGACCATACAAATTATGCAAATTCACGAGAAAGAAACGATCATAAGATACCAAGATTTATGTGGTTCAGCCTATGCCTATATCCACGGGCAAAGATCACCAGCAAAAAGAATAATTGCTCCGAAGAGCTACAATGATGATAAAGCAACCTCCCACATCACTCACTACCCAAATATTTGTGCTCTGAACAAACCCCAAATTCTATCTCTACCTCCAAAAGACAAATTCTCACAAGGAGACATCAACGGATCTAGTTAAACATAACCATAGACCCAAAATAAGGAGAAACATCCTCCAATACCTCCAGAATGGCCAATGGCCTCTTTTCAAAGAGAGATCTCAAGGAATTTCCAATAGCTTAACCAAAGGAATTAAAAATTTTAACTAAATTATGGAGACTCTCCACCTATTTATAGCTAAAGAATCATTCTTAAAGCTAATCCAAAACTAAATAGGTTTTCTTACAATTCAATCCAAAACCAACTAGGAAACACTACATCTAAAACTTTAAGTAGGTCTCTCACAAAGCCAAACCGATATGGGAGTTAAAAACAAATCTAAGTTTAACACACTACGGCTATCGACAAATTCTATTCCAATTAGGAAATTGAATACCAAATTCAAATTATATTAGAAATGGACATTGAGCCAATAAGGAAACAAATAACACTTGCGAATGGTTCTTCTAATATTTTAATTACTTCACTTTGACACCTAAAATAAGTGATTTGGTACACTTTAGTTCCTGATGTTGCGTTGTTCAAAATCAATAATGGAAGGAGAGTTATTTTTCCGAATTTAATATGAAGTCTCAACAAAGTCAAAATATCCAAATGTACCATGGTCAAGCTATGCATTTTGTAGCATTTTGGTTCCCAAATTATGCATTTTATTCATTTTCATAGTTGTCAACTAACATAAGGCATATCAATTAATTTTAAAAACCATAGGAGAGGTTCGTGTATTTGTCAAAAATCACTGAGGAAGTTCATGAATTAGCCTAAATAAAAAATCAGTGGTCTATAAATATTTCGTCAATTTAAATTTTAAAATATTTTTAACTGACTTTTTTATTTTTATTTTGAAATAAAAATAAGTTGATGCGATATTTTACAACCATTGATTGATCATTCAATAAATAACTCTATTTCATTTCATCCATATAATCCAAGGAAAATTCTATTTACACACTATTAATCCTCTCAATACACACTATTACTTAGTACACACACAGAATAATTATTAGGATCTGAAAATATGTTAGTTCATACCATAACTTTCTATTTCTAACCCTAAGTCAGCACGCCACTTACTTAAGTACACACCACATCCACACGTCTCACAAATACCAAAAATCTCCATCATCAGTGCTGAAGACCTCCATCGTCGGCGGAGGGTTTTATTCAGCCAGTGCATTGTCATCGTTAAAGATTTCCATCATCGTCATTGGCTCTCCAATGCATTGCCGTCGTTGAAGATCTCTATAATCGATGTCGTCTCGCCAGTGCATTGTCGGCGTTGAAGATCTCAGAAAATCTGTGATTCACACTTTTGATTCTCACATTGATGTGTTTTTCCTATATCGATCTACTTTTGATTTGGTTATCAATTCAACTTCCATAGCAATTTCTATTTCGAGTTTGGCTCAACACTGGTTGTCTTAAACCTAATATTATCATATCAAAAAAAAAAATTTAAACAAATTGAATATGTTCAAAATATTTATGTTGAATAAAGTTAATAAGTTCATACTTTATATGTTGGACAATTTCAACTCGTTCAGATTTAAGATGTTGAACATTTTTTATATGTTTATTTTTATTCTATTAAACATATTTAAGATACATCTTTGGTCTTCTACAACCACTACCATAGTCTGAAGTCTTTCACAACAACAAAATTATTTCTTTTACCAACTTCTCGTACCCAACTAGGTAATACTTTTTTACTTTTGAAAACCTACATATAATAGGAAAACAAGTTTAGTACATTTTCAAAATTAAAAACAAAATAAAATAAAAAATTATCAGTTTATATTGTCTTGAAACATGAGTGTACCTCTTTAATAACAAATTGACTTGGGTAGTCAACAACACAATTAGGGTGTGTTTGATTGGACGAACTGGATAAGAGGAGATTAAAATCCATCGAACTTTAGTCCTGGGACTGTGAATCCCCCAGACTATTTGGTTGGACTGGATATGTATCCTATGTTTATTTTTTCATGGGATTAGATGTTTGGAAATGACTATTTTTAGTGAATCCAATGTTTTGTTGGACGGACTGGATAGGATAAATGAACAAAAGACTATTTTACCCTTTTTCAATTGTTTACTAAGTAATAGCAATATTAAACATATCTTTAATATTTTAATTATTTTTAATTAAATAAATTCGTTTTTTTTAAATTAAATAAATAAATAAATAAAATATCAATAAAATTTGTTTTAAATCATTACTGTATAACAAATCATTATTTTTTTTACATGCAAAACTTTACTGTGTTTGTTTATTTACACAATTAAATAAATTTATTTTTTTACACAATTAAATAAATAAATAACCACTAAATTTGATTTAATAAAATACTGTATAACCTGTATAAAAAATTTATATTATTTTTTTAATTAAAATTTTAAATAAATTTTAAATAAAACACCTATTAAAATTTAAATAATGAAATTAAATAAATTATAAACAAAATTTTAAAATAAAACATCAATAAAATATCTATAAAAAAATTATTTTAAAAAATTAAATAAATAAAACATCAATAAAAAGTTAAATAAAATTATTTTATTTTTAAATTGAGACATTTAAATTTTATTGAATTTTAGTAAATATAATACATAATTAAATATTAGAGGGTCAAAATGGTCATTTTAACATCTAATCCCAACAGTGGATAGTCCCCCACATTCTATCCCACCCCCCCCAGGACACAATAGTCCCCCATATGGGGGATAAGGAGTCCGGCCGTACTCCATGTCCGGCGGACTAAAAAAAAATCAAACGGCGGACAAGGAGCACTATTTGGATTGTAATCCAAATAGTGGATAGTCCCCCCCTCCAATCCCACGAATCAAACATGCCCTTAGTTCTAACATTGTGTGGGTACAAAATTATGCAAAAAATTTAACAAAAAATAACTTTAGTCTTGTTCGTGAATATAGAGTGAAACAAACTTAATACGTTCAAATATTTATATTTGAACAAAGAATAAAATTTTAATTTTTTTAATCGAACGAACCCAAAATATTCAATTTTTTATATATGAACATTTAATATTTAGTCAACCTTAATAATTTGAAATAATCGAACATTGTATAAACGTTCAACTCTGGTTATCCAAACACTTGATGAACAAGGTCATTTTCCTAGTGACTATACAAACGAGATAAACAAAAAATCAAAAGGACATTCTAAGTAATAAACTGACATTTTCATTGCTACATTATTCCAAATCAACAACCTGAGTGTCATCCATGGTGTGCAAATCTTCAAAATCAATTGATTTCAATGTTTTTAAACCCTAAGTCTTTAAAGACAATAATGTTGAGTTTGAAAAATAAGTGTAATGGAGAAGAGAATGAGATAACTAATTGATAATAAATGATGTCATGAGTGTAGTATGTTAGATTATAATAATGAAGATGATGAGTGTTGGAAGATGATAAAGAAATACAATGTTTATATGTCTATAGGTTATATTGTGTAAAGAGTGCTTTGTATTTTCATATATAAATTACTAGTGTTCCACCCGTGCTATGCACGGATTGTGTTTACAATTATTTGTATATATGTGAATTGTGATTTTAAAATTTTTTTTTTTGGCACACAGAAAAAGGAATATAATAGATTCAATCAATTATTTTATGTTTTCTTTTATTCAAAATTTAAAAATAATTTACGGCAAAATTTATAACTAAGTTAAGGAAAAATTTATTCCTAACTACATTTTTTTACTTCTATATAAATACTTTAAAAAATAAACTTGAAAAAGGTAATCAATATAAATATTATACATAAAATAAAATAAAAAATGTGGTGAGCAATTATGCTTACATAAATTTACTATAGCTTTAATTTCATGTTAAAATAATTGTAAAAAAAAAAAAAACTATTTTAAAAACATTTTATTTAGCTAGTACCAAATAAAATTTTCTTAGCAAAAAGGAAGTAATAAAATTTTGTTGCAAATTTTCAAATGTCTAGTACTAAATATTATATTCTACTTGTTTGTTTGTTGCTTGCTTGCTTTGGGAGTTTTGATCTTTAATTTTTGCTCCACATTCATCGTATTGTTTTATTTATTTTTCTTTTTCTTGCTTCATTTTCGCATGATATTTCTTTCATAGTGCATCTCCGAGTGTATTAGTGAAAATATCATACACTTAAAACATACAAAATTACAGCATATAGAAAGGGAAAAAAAAAAGTAAGTAATTGCCCAAAACTAAAATTACTTTAAGAAAAAAACAAAAATGAAATTGTTTGAAATAGAAAATAATTTATTATTTATTAATTAATTTTTAGACATAAACTTCTAAAGAAAACAAAGAAACTATATAAAAAACAGTAAAAAATAAAAAAGAGTACAGAAACCAAACATAAAATATAATACAAAAAATAAATGAATTATAGGATTTTCAAGAAGTGAGACTCATAAATGAATTATAGGATTTTCAAGAAGTGAGACTCATAAATAAATTTTATAAAATCTTGTCTATTCATATACTTTTTTTGTATATTTTTTGTACTTTTAATTCCAAGAATGACATTGAAATAATTTGCACTTCTTACATTAGGTCCATCTAATAACTTTAGCAAACACAAATGTAATAAATTTCATAACACAAAATACAAACAATTGTGAGACAAAGTATCTAAAAAAAATAAAAGCAACATTCAATGATAATGTAGAAGCTCACTTGACATTTTAATTAAAAGTATAACCAGATACATCACCATAGAAGAGGAAAACGACATTTATTTTTCGTCACAACAATTACATAACTCAATATATAATTTTAATGTCTATTACTCTTCCACACGTCTAATTCTCTACCAATATTAAAATGAACAAAAAAATGAACATTTGAAAAGACAAAGAAATGTGGTTTGAGACATTTCAATTGTTGAATACTATTAATTAATAGTTATTAGGTTTCAATGGTCGGGTTTCTAATATTTGTTAGTCATTAAAACTGAATTCTTTGGCTTCATCTATATTCACTTGATAATTTAAGAGTGGACACGTGTTAATCTTTACATAAATACTTGGCACATTTTTTGAGTATTATTAATGAAATGCACAGTGTAATTTTTTTTTCTCTTCTTTTTTTTTTTGTTGCAATTGCAACTTGTTATTTCTTAATAAGAATTTATATTTGTTTTAGATATTTTTTAATATACAAATTATTTTTTACAGTATAATTTTTTTTTCTCTTTTTATTTTTTAATAAGAATTTATATTTTTTTTAGATTTTTTTTAATATACAAATTATTATTTTTTTTAGATTTTTTATAAAAATAATTTAACAATCCTATCACTAGCCATAGTACATAGAAAAAGTTGAAAATGGTGCGGTAGTAGGTATGGAAGAAGTCAAAAAAGTTTGTGCACAATGTAATTTTTTTTTCTCTTTTTTTTCACAATTGCAACTTTTTATTTTTTAATAAGAATTTATATTTATTTTAGGTTTTTTTCAAGATACAAATTATTTTTTACAGTGTAATTTTTTTTCTTTTTTTTTCGCAATTGCAGCCTGTTATTTTTTAATAAGAATTTATATTTTTTTTAGATATTCTTTTAATATATAATTTTTTTTTTAGATTTTTTATAAAAAAAAATAATAATTTAACAATCTCATCACTAACCATAGTATATGGGAGAAGTTGAAAATGGTGCGACAGTAGCTATGGGAGAAGTCAAAAAAGCTTGTGAGTTGGAAAAAGTCAATAAATACTGAGTTTTTTTTTTAATCAAAAAATCAAAAAATTAAAATTAGAATATTAGAGCTCCCACAAGGTTTATGAGTTAGAAACTCCATTTCCTTTATGTAATATATAGATTTGAATTGGTAAAATACATACCCATGTTGTCCTTAATAATCTTTTTATTTGGGAGGGACTAGCCCTCTGTTTGTTGTATCTGAACTTCTATCTTTGTTCTTTGTTTCTTATGAATCTAAAAAATAAATAAATAAATAAATAAAATAAATTTAATTTGCTAATGGTGTGTACTTATTAAAGGATTAGTAGTGTGTAAATAAAATTTTTCCATAATCCAAATCCAGTTATATTTTACCATATTATTGTGATGAGGTTCATTTGCAAAGCAACTTTATTTACTTTTAAAATTTGTGTATTTAAAAATTCCTTAATAATTATAGCAAAACCCACTGAAGACATCATTATAGAAATTGTAATTTCTTTTTCCTTTTCCTTTTTGGGGCAGGTGAAATTCCAGAAGAGATGGGTAATCTTCAGAGGTTGGAGATCCTATCCATCAGAACGGCTAGTCTCACTGGTCTCATCCCATCTTTCATATTCAACATCTCTTCTTTAAAGAAGCTTAATCTTCAAGAAAATAGTTTATATGGTAGTCTACCTGTGCCTGTATGCTCCCCTCTTCCAATGCTTGAAGTTGTCTCTCTATGGAGTAACAAATTGACGGGAAGCATTCCAGGAGGAATCGGAAACTGTACTTCACTCAAACATTTCAGTCTTGCTGAAAATAACTTCACAGGTAATCATCATATTATCAACCTTTATTTTGTCAATTTCATGGGAAATACTATAATACGCACAATAGGTCATAACCATTGACTCAAATATCATACACACCTCCTCTAAAGTGTGTACCATATGTAAATTATGTCATTTATTGTGAGTTTGATTATCACAAATGACATAACTCAATACTATGGAAGTCATAACTAAAAAAAAAAAATAGAGTTATAATTAAACATCACATGAGGTATAATCAAATAACTTTTGAATCATAATCAACATTACAATGTGTCATAAAATTTATCCAATTTCAATATTTCTCATGGATAATTACATTTATGTGGGAAGCAGAGAAACCTTTTTTTTTTTTTTTTCACAAATCATTGGACAATCCATTTTAAATGTAATAAAGAAAGAAATTGATAACAAATCAGTCAAATTTACCCGTTGAATTGACCAAACTATCCCCTCAGTAGCTCTAGCCACCAGCCACCATTGCCATACCGTCCCCGCCACTACCAGGCCCTCCACTTCATCCCCATGCCCTGGTCTCCCAATCTCTTCTGCCACCCCCAGCCTCTCTCTCTTATCCTTCCTCGCCTTCCACATCGACCACGGAAGATACCCCTAGAAGTATCGGTTGCTAATACTCTTGACCTATTTTTCATACCTATTTTATTGGATAAAGTATACACTTCAATTGGTATGAATGATGCCATTCTTTTTGTTTTTTCATTAATACCCATTTTCATTTAGTAATCATCACATCTAATAACTTTAATAACTATTAAATAATTTTTCTTTTTCATCAATGTTCAAATTGTTAATTAATTTTCTTCATTCATCAAACTATTCAACAATTTTAATATAAAATTGCAAATATGGTGCGCCTAACCACATTGCTATTATGTACATATAGAAACGATTGGGTTAGTCTCTAGTCCACCGTTCAATTCAGGCCCTTGGACCCACCAGTCTCTATTCATTTTATATGTCTTTGTGTTAAAACAAAACAAAAAAAAAAAAATTGATTGATCCATAAAACATAATCACATGATTTTACCATATTTATTGTAAAAAAATTAACGACAAACATTAATTTGAAATAAATCATTTTTTATTTTTAAACAAACATGATAAAACCACATGATTATATTTATCAAATCAATATTATTTTTGGATAAATTATACTTTGTCCTTTTAAGTTTTAAAATTTTTCACTATGACCTTGAAAGTATTTTTTCTCCACGTTGGCTACCCTTCTAGATATTGAAGAAATAAAAAGACTGACACCTATAGCAGGTTAATTTGGTAATATAACATGATATTATTATTTTTTTTCTTTTATATAACTTAACCAAATAATATAGGAGATAACCAATATTTTTCCTTTTCTTTTCTCTTCTATTCATCTAAATAAAAGATAGAAAAATCACAATCGTTTATTTTATTTTCTTTTCTTTTCTCTCTTTTTTTTTTTTTTTTTTTTTTTTGATCAGACCAACCCAGAAACCAACATCCAGCAACTGAAGATTAGAGTCTAAACCAGAGTGCAGACCAACAAATCTGATTCAGAACAGAACTGAAACCGTCCAACACAGAACAACAGAAGACAGCAAACCCCGCAAGAATCCAGACCAACACAGCCCAAACCAACAGATCAGACCAACCAAAGTGCAGACCAACCCAGAATCCAACAGATCAGACCAACCCAGAAACCAACATCCAGCAACTGAAGATTAGAGTCTAAACCAGAGTGCAGACCAACAAATCTGATTCAGAACAGAACTGAAACCGTCCAACACAGAACAACAGAAGACAGCAAACCCCGCAAGAATCCAGACCAACACAGCCCAAACCAACAGATCAGACCAACCAAAGTGCAGACCAACCCAGAATCCAACAGATCAGACCAACCCAGAAACCAACATCCAGCAACTGAAGATTAGAGTCTAAACCTGAGAGCAGACCAACAAATCTGATTCAGAACAGAACTGAAACCGTCCAACACAGAACAACAGAAGACAGCAAACTTCTAGCATAGAATCTGCCTAACATGCTGCAAATTAAACACCAGCTCCTGAACTGAGTAGAAACTATCTCTTGACTCAGCTTTAAACCATAAGATGACTCTTGTCTTAATCAGTTCCACCAACTCCACCATCAAAGGTTGTTTCCCATTAAACACACACTCATTCCTCATCTTCCAAACAGACCATAGAGTGGCCAAAGGGATGACCTTCCAGATTATGCCTTCGACTTTTCTCCACTTAATCCCTCTCCACCAATCTAGCAGGCCTACAACACTTTGAGGTGAAACCCATTGCATCCCCCACCACTTAAGTAGATTTGACCATACTTGCCAAACAACAGGACATAAAAGCATAACATGGTTCAAAGATTCTAATTCCTCATTACAAAAAACACAATCAGACCTGGTATTTTGATCCATCAGCCCTAAGCTTTGAAGATATGCTCTTGATTTGATTCTACCTTTCCAAACAAGCCAGCAAAAAAATTTAACCTTTGGTGGCGACACGTTCTTCCAAATAAGCTCAGTGGCTGGTAAAACCTGCCCAGAAGTAAGTTTATTGTAGACAGCAGCAGTGTTGAACAACCCATTTGAAGAGGCCTTCCAAACCAAGGCATCAGCTTTCTCAGTCAAACATGGGGTATTGCTATTTAACTTGTCCATTAGTCTTACAGCTTCAAGTTCCTCCCAAGCCCTCAATCTCCTCCTAAACTTCAGGTCCCACCTTGCTGTGATTCTTTTTCTTTCAACCAGATGAGACAGAGGAACCTCTTTTTCCAATGACAGCTCAAATAGCCTTGGATATTCCTCCTTGAAACACTTTTCACCCATCCATTGGTCTTCCCAAAATCTGATTCTAGTTCCGTTCCCCACTTGAATTTCACAGTTTGCCACATAGAAACTGTAGAGCTGAGTGTTACTAACAGCCGTATTGAGAATGTCACCCCACATTTTCGATCTCTGCTGACCCTCCGCAGTGAATGGAAGCCATTTTCCACCAGCGCTGCCATATTTGCTAATTAAGATAGACTTCCACAATGACCTATCTTCACAACCATATCTCCACCACCATTTAGCTAACAAACAGTCGTTTACCAATCTTAACTTTCTAATTCCCAAACCCCCAGTGTCTTTGCTCTTTGAAACCTCCTCCCATTTGACCAAATGCAACTTCTTTTTTACCTCTGAGCCACCCCACAAGAATCTGGCCTGGATCTTGTCCAGTAGTCTCACTACACACTCAGGCATTTTGAAAACTGAAAGATAAAAGATGGGTAGAGATGACAGCACTGCTTTAACAAGTGTTAATCTGCCTCCAAATGATAGAAGCTTCCTTTTCCAAGAAGCCAATTTAGCCTTGAATTTGTTAACTACCGGCACCCAAGTACTTCTCCTCCTTGGACTTGCTCCCAATGGCAACCCAAGATACATAAATGGTAGTTTTTGACACAAACAATTCAGTTGTTTCGCATAAACTTCCCCAACAACCTCATTGACCCCAACCCCGCACACATGACTTTTATGAAAGTTAATCTTCAGCCCCGATATCACTTCAAAGCACCTCAAAATCCTTTTTATATTTTGAATCTCAAGCTCATCTGCTTCACAAAAAACTATTGTATCATCCGCAAATTGAAGGTGGGTAACATTGATTTCCCTATGTCCAATTGCAACTCCTTTTATGAAACCCAAAGATCTAGCTCTTTGGAAGAGCATATTCAGGCCTTCCGCCAAAATGTTAAAAAGGAAAGGCGATAAGGGGTCCCCTTGTCTAAGACCCTTCTCTGGACTATACTCTGCTGTAGGAGAACCATTAACAAGAATCGAAACCCTTGTTGAGGATAAGCATTCTTTCATCCATCTAATCCACTTATCTTGGAAGCCAAACTTAGACATGAAATCCAACAGACAGCCCCAATTAACTGTGTCATAAGCTTTTTCAAAATCCAGTTTAAGAATTATCCCCTTCTTCTTTCTTTTCTTCCACCAATCAATTATCTCATTTGAGATCAACACCCCATCCAAAATGTTCCTACCACCTATGAAGGCATATTGGGCTTCACCTATAATTTGAGATAAAACTTTCTTAAGTCTATTAGCAAGAACTTTAGATAGAATTTTATAAAGAGACCCAATAAGACTGATAGGCCTATAATCAGCAAGTCCACCAGGATTCTCTATCTTGGGAATTAGTGTTATAAACGAGCTATTAACTCCTTTAGCCAGGCATCCATTAGAGTGGAACTCTTTAAAGAACTTAAGGATATCTCCCTTAAATACATTCCAACATTGCTGGAAACACAACATATTGAAACCATCGGGCCCCGGAGCTTTGTTACCATCACTATCTCTCACTGCTCCCCAAATTTCAACTTCAGAAAAGGGAGCTACCAACCCAGAAAAATTTTCATCCTCTCCAATACGCTTGAATTCACCCATCAACTTGGGTCTAGACTTCCAATCCTCAGCAAATCTACTTTGAAAGTAATTAAGCACTTCTTCTTTTACCCGTTGCGGCTCTTCATGTACCTCCCCATTCACTTCAATTGAATTCAGCAAATTCCTATTCTGACGACTTGTGGCCACCACATGGAAGAATCTAGTATTTTTATCTCCCTTCATGCTCCAGTTCATCCGAGATTTTTGTAGCCAAAGCCATTCCTCCCTTCTACTAAGAGACCAGAACTCCTTCCTAATTTCTTGCCTCCTCCTTATTTCCTCCTCATCCAGACTCCTAGTTTCTGCCACTAGATCAAAGGCATGAAGCTCCGCTTTAGCAATCTTTAGAGCCTCAGATACATTCCCAAAGACCTCACAGTTCCATTTTTTTAGTGCGAGCCTTAGGTCTTTTAATTTACGCATAATCACATACCCTGCCCAGCCGGATATAGATGAATCCTCCCATGCTTTTTTCACCAACTTACGGAATTGTGGGTGTAAGGACCAAGCATTGATGAACCTAAATGGCCTAGGGCCCCAATCCCTACCATCCTCCATAAGCAACAAGGGGCAATGATCTGAGATTGTTCTCTCCAAACCCCACAATTTGAGTTTAAACCTCTCCACCCATTCCAAGGCCATGAGTACCCTATCTATCCTACTCCACCTTTCACCATCATTGGAGTTGCACCATGTAAATTGTCGACCCATCATAGGAGGATCTGTGAGTTCCATAGTCTCAATGAACTGATTGAAGTCCATCATTCCTTTATCTCTTCGAGAACAACCTCTCCTTTCCCCTAGGTGCCTTATTTCGTTAAAGTCTCCAGCAAGACACCATGGATTATTAAAATCAGCCCTCAACTTTAACATAACTTCCCAGAACTTTCCCCTCTTGGACACATCATTCGGTGCATATATGTTTACAAATACACAGTCAAAATCAGGTGAAAAAGTACCTGAGAAGAGAATGCAATTCCTCGTACAACAGCACTGAGTTAACTTGAAGACATTTGTTTTCCAAATGCACAACAAACCTCCCGCCGCACCGTCAGAATCAACCACCATGAAATCCATATCATCCCCAGGCCATAATGACTTCACAAACTGTGCAGAAATATCTGATTGTTTTGTTTCTTGGAAAAAGACCATATCAGCTCCTTTTGTCTTAAGGAGTAGTTTGATCTGCCTTCTTTTTTCTACTCTGCCCAGACCTCTAACATTCCATACAATAAGCTTCATTAGGAAACTTGATGAAACACCTTTAAACACCTATCGTGTGCAGTTAATCTTGCACCCCAGGCTCCTTCTGAACCTCAGCCTTCCTCTGTGTAGCTTTAGCTCTATCATTAACTTCCATGGTGACTAGTTTTTTAATGACTTCCTTCTCCTTCCTTCCGAAGCAGATTCCTAGGGCTTTGCCTAGCTGCACTGTTGCTTCTACCTCCCCTTGTGGTGATTTTGCCTTACATTTACCTTTACCATTCGAGTCTGATTTTAAAGATGCTCCAGCTGTAGCTCTGAATAGCGCCCCTCTACTCCAGCTTCCCATAACCACTGGTCCACTTTGTCTACTGCACCGACCTCTACTTTCTTTCCTTCCGTGCTCAACTACCCTTCTTTGTGACGCTGAGCCCCCGTTTCCTATGCTGCCATGGATGATCTGCAGTGACTTTCCTTTACCTCCATTTGGTTTGACAAGTTTAGAAGTGGGCTGGACACAATATGACCTACTGCCCTGAATACTTGAAGTTGATGTCCTACAATCATGGGTTTGTGAATCTATAGCAATGTGGCCCAACCCATCTTGGCCCAACCCAATCCTATATGGTCTGTCAGACTCCCTTACCATTTGAACCCCATTCAAAACAACTGCCAATTCAATCCCCTCAAGTTGAGGCCCGTTTCCACTTAAACTTTCCATGAGACCGTTGGCTTTATCTTTAAGCTCCTCATTCTCTCTATCATTAATGTTGAGATGATGGTTTTTCAGAGTCCCAGCCGCAAGAGCAGCGCATGCTTGGTCTGCCAATTGACTTCCCAAACCCACCTCACACGTTTCCTCTACTACCGAGACAGAGTAATCATTCGGACTAGAGGTGATCATATCATCCATGTTGGTTGCCAACTCAATCCGTTGGTTATTAACCACCTCATCCGCCTTAGCAGTTTCCTTCTGTCCTATGGCATCCACCTCAGCTTCTTCTTTCCCTGGGAAATCACCATAGCTGCTGCACTGTTTCGCCATACCTTGGTTGCTCCATTGGTCAGTCCTCCCTTGATATGAGGTAGCGGAACACTGTTCCCCAATGGTTTTAACCACCACAACTTGTTCTTCACATACTCTAATTGGATAAAACATATCTCTACACTTGATATGGATCACAGAGTTAATAGAGTTCATCACCTTAGTTGCAATCCGTATTCGCCCACACTTGAAAGACAAGGATCTAGTTGTTTCCTCATCTATGCTTATCATTTCGCCCCACAGCCGACCAATTTTGTTGAAGGTGTCTGTATTCCATAAATTTAGAGGCACACCGTAGCAACTTAGCCACACTAATCTTTCCTGATCAAGCACCATCCCTTGTTCCCAATCTGAAACTGATTCGCACCATTCATTGAGACAGTCTTCCAATCGTGCCATTTGGTCATCCTTTTCCGCCTTCGAGCTGAAAGACACCACTGCCATCTTACCACCCCCTTCCCTCACTATGATTTCCTTGGAACCTTTTTCATGAATACTCTTTTGAAAGTCTGAAAACTCAAAGTAACTTTTAAGTGTAACAATAACGCTTTCATATAGCCAACCATTCTCTCTTAAATTATATAATTACTATTTCTTTTCTTTCTTAAGTAACCAAACATTGTATTAAAGAGGAGAAAGAGATGGGAGTTAGAATTTGGGTTTGGACTTTGAGGTTTGGGTTTTGGGTCTTCAAATGGGATAGAAATTTATTTTTAGATAAATTAAAATATATATATAATATATATATATATATAAAAGAAGTCAAGCAGTTGGAAAAAAAAAAAAAAAAAAAAACTTTAAGAACAAATTAATATTCTCCATAAAACACTTTAAAAAAATTCATAAAAAAAAAAAATTTAATTATTAGTAATTCGCAGCATTTCATTTTGCTTTATAACAACTAAAATAATCATCCATCCACCTACAAACTCATGCAATAATCAGCCATAGTTTTTTTTCTTTTTTTTGGGAATTAATCAACCATAGTTGTTCAAACTATAATTTGTCAATCATTACCACCAAATTTATTGATTTCTCTGCTTCATCTATCTACAAAACCTAAAAAAAATGCTTAGATATACAACAAATATTAAAGTTTGGAAAATGTTTGAGGGCCACAAAATCAGTGGCTCAAATGGCTCAAAACTGCCAAAACGACGTCGTTTTGCGTTGTTTTGCACCCAAAACGACGTCGTTTTGCACCCAAAACGACGTCGTTTTGACAGTTTTGAGCCATTTGAGCCACTGTTTTTGTGGCCCTCTAGTATTGCTGTTAAAGTTTATTCCAAATAAAATATGAACATAAAATATTGCAAAAAATTCTAGGTCGCTCTAAACTAAAACCACATTATCTCAATTCAAGATTCAAAATGAAAGGCACATTCCAATCTTAAAAATAAAAAAAATAATAAAAAAAATAAAATGAAAGGCACGCTGAAATTCTCAACCACCCAAGGCACACATTAAATATTTAGAAAGAAAGAAAGAAAAAAAAAAAGAATTTGACTCTTATAATAAAATAAACTTTAAGTTTTTTATTATATCAATTTAAACACTAATTTTTTGATTTGTTAACAATGTAAACCATTTATTTATTTTTATTAAGTAAAATTGACAAGAAAATTATATTTTAGTCATTAAACTCAACAGAAAATTATATTTTAGTCATTAAACTCAACAGAAAATTATATTTTAGACATTTATATACTTATATTGAGTTCAATAACTAACATACTATTTTTTTTGTTAGTTTAATTTAACGAAAATAGGCAAATGGTGGTTTAGATTGAAATAAATCGAAAGATTAGAGTTTAAATTAAAAAAATAAAAAAATTGGGGCTTATTTTGTAGTACTTTTTTCTTTTCTTTTTTTTTTTGGTGATCCTCTCCCATGGATATTTGTAATGGATCGGTTCTATTACATCATTCAACGGTGAGTGTTATAATCTTTTCAAATTTAAAGTTTGGGATAAACTAAAAAAAGTCAAAAAGTTAAAAAAAAAAAAAAATCAAAAAGACCATACTATTTGGAGGAAGCTTGTGGGGGAAGCCTAGAGGCAAAATTATTTTTTTGCCTTTTGAATTCAACTATTCAAAAGTCAAAAAGTTAAAAGTCAAAAGGTCAATAAGGATATAATGGTCATTTTGATTTTACTACAATATTTTATTATACTTCTTTTCGTAAAAAGTCAAAAAGTTATCCCCAACATACATATTTTTTTCTCCACTTTTTTAACTAAAAAATTAAAAAGTACACTTATATAGCACATCCCAAACAATTTATATAATGAAAATCTTTTATTATACACACGGAATAGAGAGAATTAAAATCCATTTAACATTAAAATGCTCAATCCTAACCAACAAAGTTACTATTTAGAAAAGAGTTCAAAATTTGTAACATGTAGATGAATTCACCCTGGGTGGTGCCCAAATCACCAAACTTCCAAATTTTGGACATTTTTCTTAATATTTTTTTTTTGGTCTCCTATTAGAACTATTACAAATTAGCTTGACAGAGAAATTCAAACTAAATCCGTAACAAACCTGAGTTCGGATCCTCGGCCGCGTTTTCCAGCAGCTCGTCCTGCGACGCCCCAAAACGACGTCGTTTTGGAGCGAGATTTCAATTTAAAAAAAAAAGAAAAAGAAAAAGACAGAACATGAGCAACAGAGGGAGGAGAAGAAGAAGCCTCCCTTCACCCATGGCGCCACCATCTCAAATTTCTCCAAAAAAATTTGCCGACCAATTTCCTACTTTTTTTCCTAGAAAAAAATACAAAACCTGTCTAAAATTTTCTCAGCAACCAAACAAAAAGGCAACAAAGAACCAGCGCTTACTTCTCCGTTGGCAAGGGCAATGGCCATAATAGCTGCAGCTTCCATGACCCACGAAAGAGGGTTCCACATAAACCCCCAAAACTTCAAAATCTTACTCTCCTGCAAGCAAAAAAGCAAAAAATCAAAAAAAATTGTAACCCCCAAAACACCTCAAATTTCTACAACAACAAAGACAAATCAAGAGAAATTTGTTTTTCTTACAACAAAGACAACATCAAAACCCATCAAAGCACACCTTCACTGAATAAAAAACAACATAGAGAGTGTAAAAATCACAACAGAGTCAGATTCAGTACCAAATCAACAGCTTCCTTCTTGAGAGCCTCCATTAATTCATCTTTACTTCCCATCTCGATCTCTTTCAATCGGTATCAACAGATCTGACTCAACAGTTCGGTGAACGGCAAACGATTGGCAACGGACGATCGGGGGGAAACGGCAACGAGGATGATCGGGAGGAAACGGCAACGATCGGCAACAGTCCTTTCTCTCTTCCTCACTACTTCTTTCTTCTTCTCTCTCTTCTTTATTTCTGATTCTATGTTTTTGTTTATTTTTTTTTTGGAAATCTCACCCCAAAACGACGTCATTTTGGGGCGCCGCAGGACGGGCCGCTGGAAAACGCGGCTGAGGATCCGAATTCAAAAAACCTCATATTCCTGAACACCCACTTGACCAGAATGCAAGAATTTCTGAAAGAATCCACCATTTCAACAACCACAGAAAGTAATTGAAAATTCTTATTCTAAAACTACCAAAAAAGTTCAGAGACAAAAAACAGTAGAATCTCATATGTTTCAGCTGGGAATTTGACCAGTGGAGCTATTTAGACTTGCAACCAAACAAGCTAAATCTAGATTGCTCAGAAACGTTCAATTCAGAAAGCCATAATAAAAAACAATACCAAAAAAGGATATGTAGAAAATGGATTAGATACAAATTAGTTTAAAAAGTATCAAAACCTTTTATTGGATGACTGGGTGGGTCGATTGGAATTCTCCACCATTGAAAACTAAAAGGGAGAAGACTCTCTCTGGTCTAAATCTAAACTAGAGAAGCGATGTCCGAAAAAATCCTTTTGATAATTTGAATTGTTCACTTTTTCTGACCCCTTCGTGTATGTCATTCACACGCAAAATATATCAATATAATAATTGTAACATTTATTTTATCATGTTTATCTTAAAAAACAAGGAAATCACACTTACTATTCATTTTTTTAGAGACAAACACAATAAAATGAATATGTTACAATAACCTACTTTGTCTGAATGATATACACAAACAGACTTAAAAAATGAACAATTTAGATTATCGAAACGAGACTCATGATAAGCCTGAATAACACCTCTCCATTCCAAATATGGAGTGGATACAATTCTCTCCCAAAATGAAAAAATAGTTATCTCTTCGAGGGTGGAAAATTGTGGTGTCAATTGGCCTCACTAGGTCTTGGAAAAAATATATATTATCTATATTTTATAGTAAAATTGAGCCCGTTTAGTTATAAAAATGGAACTCATTGCAAAGAGTCGAAGCAAATTTTTTTATGAAATTAGCTTCTTCTTCTTTTAAGGTACAAATCATCTAAAGTAACGCTGGTCTTCATGAAAAAAATTCATAAAAAGCGTCATGAATATTCTCCACTTTTGGATTACACTTGCAATAAAACACAACAAACTAATCAATAGATAAAAAATCTTTATGAAACTTTTAATAATATTTCTTTGATAAAACCCAACGTTATTCAATCATATATATCCTATTCTCTCCATTGTTTCTATTTTCAAACTCTTTCTCACCCCATAATCAATGTAGGAAAGATTGATCAAGTGATAGAGAGAATGTTTAAAATAAGTTGATGGAGGACATTAGATACAAAGAATCTATCTCATTACTTTTACCAGTAACAACTAAAATTATGGAAAGAGCATTTTTAACAATGTAATTCATAAAGATTTGATTATAAAATCGAACGGAAAAGTAAGGATGACTAATTGTTCAATCACATACATTGCAAAATGAGGCATTTGATAACATTGTAATGTGACAATTATGCAATGATTTCAAAATACAAAAACTCGTTGATAGCAATGATGAAGTTTATGTATTTGTATGTTTCTTTTTTTGTAAAAATAGTAGTATTTATTTATGATTTTAAGAAATATAATTTTCTTTGTTAAATTATTAAAAATGGATATCGATAAGAGTAAAACAATCTTTTTTAAATAATAATTTGTGGAAATTTATTGACCCCAATAAACAAAAATCTCAGAGCTGCCATTGATCCCTTCACTATATTTATGAGAACTATATTAAATTCAGCAAATCTAGTTGCACATCCACCTCCTAAATACAATACTTTCGCAGATTTTAAAGAAAAACACCGACGACACTCTTGATTAGTTTTTTCAATGTGTTCATAATGACATTTTCTACAAGTTTAATCCTTGTTTAAAATTTTGTCAGGTTCAATACCAGAGGAGATTGGTATGCTTCCAAAAATGGAAGGACTATATCTCCAGTACAATAACTTAATGGGCCCTATTCCTGCAACAATCTTCAATATCTCCACATTACAAATTATTGCATTTACACAGAATCAGTTTTCAAGTAAACTTCCTTCAAGTATAGGTGTTTCGCTACCCAACCTTGAACGACTTCATCTTGGAGAAAATGAACTCAGTGGAATTGTTCCTGATTCTATCTCGAATGCTTCTAAACTCGTTATATTAGTTCTTTCCAATAATAGGTTTAATAGTTCAATTCCAAGCTCACTCGGCAACTTAAGACTCCTAGACTATCTCTACCTATCAGGAAACAACTTCACTTGTGAATATTCTTCTTCTTCTGAATTGAACTTCCTCACTTCCTTGTCAAGTTGCAGACAATTAAGAAAATTGGTGATCAGTAGCAATCCTCTAAACGGCATCCTTCCAGCTTCTATTGGGAATCTCTCTGATTCTCTGGACAATATTGATGCTAGTTATTGTGGAATCAGAGGCAGCATTCCCAGTGAAATTGTTAACTTAAGCAATTTAGCTTTCTTAAATATAGATGGCAATGAGTTGACAGGATTCATTCCGATCACAATCAAAAATTTAAGCAAGCTTCAAATACTATCTCTTTATGACAACCGAATACAAGGATTCATACCGGTTAATCTATGCTATCTAAAAAACCTGGGTGCATTGTACTTGGGAAAAAATAACTTTTCTGGACTGATATCGGCATGCGTAAGGAATATTACTTCCCTAAGATATCTAGATCTAGATTCAAACAAATTAATTTCTAGCATACCCACAAATTTGTGGAGCCTCAAGGATCTCTTGGAATTTAACTTATCCTCGAATTATTTAAGTGGATATTTACCATTAGAACTTGGCAATTTAAAGGTTGCAATTTGCATTGATCTATCAATGAACCAATTCTCAGGACAAATCCCAAGCACCATTAGAGGTCTACTAGGTGTGATTAATCTTTCTTTGGCACATTAACAGATTACAAGGACCAATTCCTCAGTCAATTGGTAGTTTGATAGACTTGGAATTTTGTGATCTATCTTATAACAATCTATCTGGTGTAATTCCCAAGTCGTTAGAGGAACTATTACAGCTAAGGTACTTCAATGCATCTTTCAATAGATTAACATGAGAAATTTCAAGTAGAGGGTCTTTTGCAAACTTCACATATCAATCTTTCATGTCAAATGAAGCATTGTGTGGTGCTCCTCGGTTGCAAGTCCCACCATGCCATACCAGCTCTCTTCATCAATCAAGAACAAAACAAATGTTGCTAGTTGTATACATTTTGTTGCCGATTGCATCCATATTGCTTGCCATGATCTTTGTATTTGCGTTTATAAGACGCCACCAAAGAAAAAACAAAATTCCAATTCAAACTGATTTGTTACTTTCAAGAATAAACCATGGAAGAATTACATACCATGAACTTTCAAGAGCAACCGATATGTTTAGTGAAAGCAACTTACTTGGCACAGGAAGTTTCAGTTCAGTTTATAAAGGAATGCTTCTTGGTAGGAAAATTTTTGCTACGAAGTGAAGAACAATTGAATCTTTTCTATTATTTATTTATGATCAAATACATTGTATATTTATACAGATGCCATGTAACAAACTCCTAACAAACTATAACAAACTCTAACTACTAACTAACTTGAGTTAACAAACTCTAATTACTAACTAACTTGAGTTTAACAAACTAACTACTTAACTAACTATCTTGAGCTTGATGCAGAGCAATCTGGTATAGGACTAGCTGCTAAGTGATCTGGTGAGTTAGCTGCTGAGTTCTGCTGCTACTGCTAATGCTGAGGAAGTCTTATCATCCCCCTGCAAGCTGATGGGAGGGGAAGTGACCAGCAGCTTGGACTGAAGATATTGAAACCGAGCAACAGACAGTGGTTTGGTGAAGACATCCGTAATTTGCTCAGCAGATGGTATGTAGTGAAGAAGAAGCTTCTTGGAAGCAATTTTGTCACGAATGAAGTGACAATCAACTTCGATATGTTTAGACCCTGTGTGAAACACATGATTTGAAGCCAAGGCAATGGCAGATAAGTTATCACACAAAAGAAGAGGAGTGGTGACAAGAGGTAGAGAAAGATCATGAAGAAGCATTTGTAACCAACTAAGTTCAGCTGTAGCATGAGCAAGAGAACGATACTCAACTTCTGTGCTTGATCGGGAAACTGTAGGCTGCTTTTTAGCAGACCAAGAGATGAGGTTAGAACCAAGGAAAACACAGTAGCCAGAGGTAGATTTGTGATCAATAGTGTCACCGGTCCAATTTGAATCAGAAAAGACTTGAAGCTCAAATGAACTAGGACAAAAAGTTAAGCCATGAGAAAGGGAAACCTGAACAAACCGAAGAATAGGTTTAAGCAGAGCAAAGTAAGCATTAGTGGGGGCATGCATGTATTGACAAGCTTGATTGACAGCGAACGAAAAATCTGGACGAGTAAGAGTTAGATACTGTAAAGCACCTACTAAACTTCTGTATAACTGAGGCTGATGAAAGGGAAGATTAGCAGCAAGAGTATCAACAGGTTTCATGGACATAGGAGTAGGACATGGTTTACAAGAGGTCATCCCAGCCTTAAGAAGAATTTCAGAAGCATATTTAGATTGAGACAGAAAATAAGTGTCACCCATTGCTTGAATAGAAATACCCAAGAAATAAGAAAGATCACCCGATTCCTGCATAGCAAAAGCAGAGTGCATCTGGTGAATGAGAGCTTGAAGATGAGAGGGACTATTGCCAATAAGTAAAATATCGTCAACATACATCAGAAGGACTGTTATGGTAGTGGAAGTCTTGTGAATAAAGAGAGAGTTATCATAATGACTATTTACAAACCCTTGAGATAACAAGAACTTGGAGAAAGTATAGTACCAAGCGCGAGGAGCCTGTTTGAGGCCGTAAAGAGCTTTTTGAAGCTTGCATACATGATGGGGAGAGGAAGAGCTAACAAAACCTGGTGGTTGAGTCATATATACTTCCTCATCCAAAGTGCCATAGAGAAAAGCATTGTTGATGTCAAGTTGCTTTAATGGCCAATGATAATGTAAAGCCATAAAAAGCAAAACCCGGATGGTGGGATGTTTTAGCCACATGGCTAAATGTTTCAATATAATCAATGCACTCTTGTTGTAAAAATCGCTTAGCAACCAACCGAGCTTTATATCGGGCAATAGAGCCATCACTGTTGCGTTTGAGTCGGAAAACCCACTTACAACCAATAGCCTTCTTAGTAGAAGGAAGGGGGACAAGAGACCAAGTACCCTGAGCAAGTAAGGCATTATATTCTTCAAGCATAGCTGAATGCCAAAGAGGTGAAGCAAGAGCTTGTTGATGAGAAGAAGGTTCAATATTTATAAAGGAAGGAGTAGTACAAGCTACAAGACCCTTAGTTTTAGAACGGGTAAGCATGGGATAAGAATTAGTAGAACAAGGTAAAGAAGGTAAATGAATGAAAAAAGAATCAATAGAAATAGGGTGAGAAGAGGGCTGATCAATAGGTTGAGCAGAAAGTTGGACAGATGAACATGTCTGATGAACTGGAGAAGGAACAGTAGTAGATCTGGAAGAAGAACAAATCTGAGGAGTTGGAGAGGAAGTAGGCAGAGGTGCTGGTGAGGAACATGGCTGAGGAACTGTGGAAGGAACAGCAGCAGATCTGGTAGGAGAACAGAAATGAGGAACTCCAGAGGAAGAAGGCAGAGGGACTGCTGGTGAACAAAGCCAAGGAGCAGCAACAACAGACTGTGATGAAGGTGGAGCATTAGTAGAGGGAGGCCAAAAGAAAGAGTGAAGATGAGATAAATATTGAGTAGGCGCAGATGAATGAGTAGAGAAAGGAAAAACATTTTCATGAAATTCGACATGTCTACAAATATAGACTTGACCCGTGGTCATGTTCAGACATCTATAGCCTTTATAAGATGAGTGATAGCCAAGAAAAACACATAAAGAGGATCGAGGCTGCAATTTAGAATGAGTATAAGGTCGTAACCAAGGAAAGCATTGGCAGCCAAAGACCTTCAAAAAAGAATAGTCAGGTAAGACATGATTAAGAAGCTCAAAAGGAGATTTGTTAGACAATTTGACACTTGGCATTCTATTAATGAGATGAATGGCAGTAGCAACTGCATCAAACCAGAATTTTGTGGGAACAGAAGAATGGTGAAGCAAAGCAATAATAGTCTCAACAATGTGTCTATGTTTACGTTCAAAGACACCATTTTGTGGGGGAGTATAAGGACAAGATAGTTGATGGACTATTCCTTGAGCTTTTAAGAATTTAGTCATGGAAGAGTTCACAAATTCAGTGCCACCATCAGTCCTTAATACTTGAAGTTTAGTAGAAAATTGAGTCTCAACATAGGCTTTAAACTCTAAAAATTTGGAGAAAACTTCACTTTTGTAACATAGAGGATAAAGCCAAGTAAAGCGACTATAATCATCAATGAAAACCAAATAATACTTGTATTCAGATGAAGTAGAATGAAAAGGTCCCAATACATCACTATGAATGAGAGAAAATGGATTATTCACAGTAGAATTTGACAGTTTAAAGGGAAGTCGATGACTCTTAGCCATACTACAATGTGTACAAGAACTAAGATCAAACTTTGTTTTATTGAAAGTAAAAGGCAAATGCTTCTTTAAAACAGTAAACTTCAACTGAGACGGATGACCCAATCATTTGTGCCAAGTATCTTCAGAAGCACATGCAAAGGTCTTTGTCAAGAAGGCAGTAGAGGAGGTTGAAGAATGATGCATAGCAGTAGGATGATGAGAAGAAGACAACAGAAATGGAAAGTGATACAGGCCATTAGCATTATAGCCTTTATGCAAAATGGCCTTGGTGTTCTTGTCCTGAACCACAAAGGAAGAAGCATCAAAAGTAATAGTGCAGTTATTATCTTTGGTGAGTTGATGAACAAAGAGAAGATTGGAAGAGATGGGAGCATGAAACAGTTTATTGAGTTTGAAGGAAAAATGAGGAGTAGGAAGAAAACCTTTACTTGTGTGATGAATAGGAACAGAAGTGCCATTTCCAACTAAGATCTAATCAGGACCAGTATAGAATTGTGACATGTTGAGATTTGAGAGATCATGAGTAATATGATCAGAGGCAGCCGAATCAAGATACCAGGGAGCAGTCTCAGATAGAGAAGGAGGAGGAACAGAAGCAACATAAGCTTTTGGTGAAGGATAAACAGAAGAGAGTTCAGAAACAGACTGTGATGAAGAAGGTTGAGCGGAAGCATGTGGAGACACAGTCTGATGAAAATTCATATCCAGTCTATGCCAACAATCAAGAGCCGTATGATTACCTTTGCCACAAATTTGACAAATTTTAGCAGATGAATAGAATCGGCCTCTACCTCGAGAATTCTGTCGTCCAGTACCATGAAAAGAGCCTTGATAGCCTCCTCTCTAGCTTCGAAAAGAAGATCGTCCTCCTCTTGAAGAAAAAGATCCACTGGTGGACATATAAGCAACTGTGTTTTCATGTGATTGCAGTTTTCTTTGTTTGAAGTCTATATGAAGAGACTCAGAACACAAAAGAAAAGTTAAGTCCACCATGGAAATAGGCTCAATTTGAGCACGAACAATAGTTTTAAGAGCATCAAACTCATCTGGCAAGCCATTCAGAGTGAGCAGTACCAAATCTTCATCATCCATAGGTTATGAAGCAAGAGCTAATTGACCAGCAAGCTCTTTGATTTGAAGCAAATATTCTTCAATTGATTTGGAACCTTTGGTTAACTGAGTCAATTGATTCTTGATTTGATGGATGTGAGAGCGAGACACCATGGTAAACTGTTTGCAAAGAGCAGTCCATACCTCGATGCTGTGTTGCAGATCAAGAACAGAAGAAAAACTTGTAGGTGTAAGAGTAGCAGTTATACAACTGAGCAGATGAGCATCAGTCTTGTTCCAAGTGGCTTGATCTGGATTCAAAACTTCAACACCATTAGAGTCGGTGATCATCAATGGAGGACATGGAACAGATCCAAGTGCGAAGTCTAATAGATCTGTAGCTCGTAGAACATTCTGAAATTGACTTCGCCATATAAGGAAATTGGTGGAATCGAGTTTAACAGTGATAAAAGAATTCAGATTGGAAATCAAGAGATTAAGATTTGCAGGTAAAGAAGAAGAAGATGATGAAGCAGCCATATATGGATTGAAACTATGCTCGTAGGAGCTCTATTGAGGCTTTGATACCATGAAGAACAATTGAATCTTTTCTATTATTTATTTATGATCAGATACTTTGTATATTTATACAGATGCCATGTAACAAACTCCTAACAAACTATAACAAACTCTTACTACTAACTAACTTGAGTTAACAAACTCTAATTACTAACTTACTTGAGTTTAACAAACTAACTACTTAACTAACTATCTTGAGCTTGATGTTGATTATTTCATGTGACTGATTTTGATTTTTTTTTTCTTCTGAAATTGATTTAGATCATGCCAAAACTAGGTTAATGACCTGTTTTAGCAAGAAAGGCAAGTCA